AGCAGTCTGATGGTGTGCCATCGAATTCAGTCTCCCTTGTACGTTGAGCGTCTGAAGTACGATGCAGCATGCTCTCTTTGGGTGGTCATTTTTCAAATGTCCGTCAGTGTACTTTTTTCAGATGGACAGGTTTTTCCCGTCTAGTTAACGCTGTTCAGTCTGAGCCTTCAGACGGTTTTCTACAAGAAAGCCATTCTGCACATTGTACTCAAAAATGGTTTCTGTAGTCAGGGTGCTTGCGGTGAAGGTTCCATAGAGTCGAACACCCATTCAAACCCACCATGTAGATCTTGCACTGAAAAGGTTTCATCCCGATGCGGCTCTTGTTCCATTACTTCTGACGGGCAATCAATATTTGCTTGATACCGGTTATAGAAGCATTCAAAACATTTCATCGAATCCAAATCAACTCATTTCAAATTATCCACTGACGCTGAGTACGAAATAGCATATTTAGATAGACTTTTATACCTTTCACATAGCAGGACTTCACCTCCAGACACGCGAATTTGAATATTTGGCCATAATCTCCATCACTCACTATACCACATCAAACCTTCGCCCTGAGTTCTCGAGCACCTCAGCTTCCACATATCAAAACAGAGCAGGAATATTCTTTGAGCATACGGTGCTGCGCTGTCAAAATATGTCGGATTCCTGAACCAGAATGCCAAGCGTTGTCCATTGCGTTTGGCGCAATATCTGAGTGATCAGCCGGTCTGAAACGGACTTTGATAAGCGCAATAATAATTCGCATATCAAATTTTCGGCAAATTTTTCTGATTCACCTTAACACAGTCTCACCCTCGATACAGTATACTACCTGCAGCGATTTATCCGAGTTGCTCTGGACATACTTTTTAAGAAACATCTCCAAACTCATTCCGGTGTTTTAGATGATCTAAAATATCATGTTGTTTAGGGCATCATCAGATTGGCTCAGATCCCTGGAACTTGCAAGGCAAGCCTGCTGCAGGCTCATTCTCATAATTCTTCAACATGTTACATGGAATGCGACAGCTCACTGTAGATGTCCTACTTGAATATCCTTTCTTCAAGAATACGAGGTTAAGATGAAGAATTTCAGCTTATAAGGCGAAGAGGGTGTTGCATGTTGAGGTTCCGGAAAAGAGTGACGGCAACATAAGACCTCAGCGATAGGTATTTCGTCGAGTGAGCAGAATGTCGAGAGACGAGAACTCCAAATTCATGCGACGACCTCCTCTCCACAAGCATATCAAGGAATAATATGTCCTGGTACACCTCTAAGTTAGCATTAAGCCCATTCGATCGTTAATACGCCGTCCATTCATTCAATTTGCGAAACCCTTAAACTGCCCCAGTACGTCCTTTTCTCTTTTGCATGGAACGATCATGACATCCACAATTCTGGTGTAAAGCAACTGTGAGACAGATACTGTATGTTCTCGACTGCATATTAATGTCAATCCTAGGGATGCCATCTACCAACAGGTTCTGGAGAAGTGAAGAACATCAAGTGAAACAATGTTATGACCAAGAAACCCGTCCTGTGATTATTGGCTACAATTGATTCCTGCGAAATACCCCAGTCGTATGGACTAATGAAGCTCCGCAAACCAAGACACCCGTTCTGGCTGATTATATCCGCAGGAGAGACGGTGACATGCTCGATGTTAAAACAGTTCAAATTGTTAGTAAAACGCACACTCAGCAGCATGGCTTACGGAGTGAATGACAGTCATGAGTTTCAACTGTCGCTATAAGAATTTCAGTGCAGGAACGATGTATGGCATTTCCGGTCGTCACTGCTCATTTCAGCAACATGGATGCAGGCAATGGCCGGAATCCTCCCGTACGTCCAATGAGTGTAGAACTGCAGTAAGCGTGCTTAGACACTAAAACCCTGAAGAGCTAATGCCGGTCGTTCGTTCTTCTTGCGATGGCAAGCAAAAATTTCAAATTTCCGAGAAACATATATCACTAGACACACAGCGTTCCTGTGAGCTCTCCAGTGGTGTCGTTTGGCTGAGTGTTATCGGGATTATTTGGAGGTAAATGACCTCCAGCGAAATTCTCGCCTTTATTCTCTACCAGATTTGCAGATGACATCTTCGGTCTATTCCAGGTGTGCTGGAACATTTGAAAAGTTTCGCAAACTATATGGTTACTATTAAGGCTGACGTTAACCTGAATACACCATTACTAGTTGTGTTTGTAAAGAGGATTTAGTCGTTTGAATCCAAAATTTCCGTTTTTGGAAAGCCCACTCACTCGAATAGATTTGTACATCCGAGGTCTTCTGTTTCACCCGTTCCTTTCAGGAAAATCGTGAGGAGAATACAGTTATGCGAGCAGGAAACATGCAACAACGCTTTCGCATTCGACGACGAAATTCGACAGCTTTATCGTATATTTTTTGAAGACTCAGTGTTCTAGAAAGACACATGTTCACGAACATTGTATTCCATATCAAAATTGATGAAGATTTATGAGACTAGGCCCATAGCAATTTTGTTTTACACATCCAGGGTATCCGAGCCAATCAGAAGATTCCTCCACAACATGGGGCCGGCTTGAGTCTGGGGGATGCATTCATTCGAGAAGTTCACGGAAAACAACACAAATAAGTCGTTTGTATGCAGTACACTGCATCGAATACCGAGATTTTGATCTGATGCACCTCTGAAAGATCTAACCTCAATTGGAAAACTCGGATTAAAAGGTATGTATGAATAGTCAACCTCTATTGATCACTGTGGTATTGCATAACGCGCCATTTATTGGGCAACTCTTCAGTCAGAAAAATTTGTGAGTCATCTACAAAAGTTAGTCAATGCTTGTGCTTCTGGCATAGAAGCCCTCAATATTTTGGCAATGAAGCGTCTCATGTGTATGGTGATAAGCGAAAACTGTTGTGCTCTCATGAATTTCATAGCAAAGTTTGATATGGTGCGATGCGTGGCGGGCGCCTATCTACCTCCTGTATCGGAGGTCGAATTTTTCAGCCATGTGTTATGACTGATCTATCATAGACGAGCATAGCGATCAAGATCTACACAGCAATTAATCTTCAGACTCAGCACTGCTTATCAAGTGTACGCAGAACGCCTCTCGCTATACCAGTTTGCTGATCGACTTCATCCCTCATTTTCCCCTACCTGTAGAACCTCGATGCACGTGGACTTTTTCGCATGTTCCACTGATCATTCGTTTTTCTGCAGAACGTAGCTGGCATGAAGAGGAGAAAACATTAGGCTTTTCATTCTAGATGCGTTGATTCGCATGCCGGCCACGTCGCACTTGTCTGCGAGCCCTTCCAGAGGGCGGGAGTCAATTTCAGAAGATGCCAACAAAGCGAGGTTGTCTGCAAGTGGCAAACATACTGTCTTCACATCTCCTACGTTAGCACAGTCGTTGCTCTGGCTGTTTCGGGCAATTTGCCCATGTGCAGCAAACCAGGAGAGAGGACAGAACACCGGCTTGGCGAAGACCAGTGTCACAGCCGAAACGCTTTGACATAATGCCATTTATTCTGATGCAGCACCTGCTATCACATATAGTGACCGGATAGCTCACAAAC